ACACGTTCAAATCATACCGGACCCAAATGGGATCGGTATGATTCGGTATCAATGTTGATACCGTAAAAAATCTGTAAATTTTCAAGTTCAATCAAATCTGAAAATCAAATGGCTGTTAATACTAGCCTGGAGATAATCAAATGTTGTTAAGACCATATGCTCAACCTTTCTCTTTTTTTTTACAACTTAGCCTGGAGAAAAATTTGACATTCATCTCGAACATACACAGCTACTAATACTAGAGTACAACAAATTACACACATCTAATCACTTCTCAACTGCATGAATTTTCAATACAGCTTCCATACAACTTCTTTAAGAACAGAACTTACAGAAGTATCAGATATATATATATATAAACTGACAGTAGCCTAGCCAATATGCATGTCAATAATTCATGTCTTCCCAAAATCAAAACCAATCCATCCTAAATAATAAGAGAATTTATACCATATGGAATTAATAGATTCATGTCTTCCCACGCATGCTTACAGAACCAATTCATGTCTTCCCAAAATCAAAACAATTTCTCAAATTTGAAAACAAATAATTTCAAACCAAAACAAGTTTCCATGAATACCCGAGAATCTGAGATCGGACTGAAATTGGTAGCAGAGGCAGAGGGTAACGGGCTTGAAGAAGAAGATCCCACAGAAATTCGGAGAGACTTTGGGTTGGGGCTTTCCTTTTCCACTGGTTTTTTGGTTTTGGAGAAGAACAAAGAGAGAGAGAGACATGAATCTATTGTTGTTCCTAATATTTTATGAGATTTTTACTCTTCTTCTTTTATGAAGGGAGGATAGAGAATACATTAGGGGTGGGCACGGTATGAGATGACACGGGATGGAGGTCATCCCGGTGTCAATCCCGAATAGAGGAATCGGTATGGGATGACATGGGATGGGGGTTTTTGAAAACACGTTCAAATCATACCGGACCCAAATGGGATCGGTATGATTCGGTATCAATGTTGATACCGTAAAAAATCTGTAAATTTTCAAGTTCAATCAAATCTGAAAATCAAATGGCTGTTAATACTAGCCTGGAGAAAATCAAATGTTGTTAAGACCATATGCTCAACCTTTCTCTTTTTTTTTACAACTTAGCCTGGAGAAAAATTTGACATTCATCTCGAACATACACAGCTACTAATACTAGAGTACAACAAATTACACACATCTAATCACTTCTCAACTGCATGAATTTTCAATACAGCTTCCATACAACTTCTTTAAGAACAGAACTTACAGAAGTATCAGATATATTTTGATTTTCACGCAATAGAGTTGAAGATAATGTCACAAGGAATTTGTAGAAACTTTCGGTGTATTTTTCTGATTTTTTAATCATTTTTCGTGAATTTTTGAAGATAAACACACAAAAATGAAACATTAATGACACATGGCTCTACAAGATACTGACACTCATTGGAAAAGCTGAGGACCCAGCCATCAGACGCTGCCATGTGTCACTCTCTTCCGTTTATTACTATTTTACAATGTTTTGACTTGAAAAAATCATAATTAATTCGTAAAAAATCCGAAAAATTCACCGAAAAATGCCACAAACTCCTTGCGATATTTTCTTCATCTTTTCAGTTGTAAAATATAAATCTGACACATAAAAAATTGAAATAATTTTTCAAACTTAAGTTTTTTCATGTACTACCTATAACACTAAGTTGAAGATCATTTATCTTCCTGGCTACAACACTTCCTCCAATTATAACTTCAATTTTTTGAAAGTAAAATTTTGATTTTCACGTATTAGAGTCAAAGATAATGTGGCAAGGAATTCGTAGAAATTTTCGGTGTATTTTTCTGATTTTTTTAATGATTTTTCGTGAATTTTTGAAGATAAACTCACAAAAATGAAACATTAATAACACGTGGCGCTACAAGATACTGACACCCGTTGGAAAAGCTGACGACGCACCCATTAGGCTCTGCCATGTGTCATTCTCTTCCATTTATTACTATTTTTCAATTTTTTGACTTCCAAAAATCATAATAAATTGATAATAAATCTGAAAAATTCACCAAAAAATTCCCCGGACTCCTTGTGACATTTCCAACATCTTTTGAGACTTAAAATATAATTTTGACTTTAAAAAAATTCAAATTATTTCACAAAGTCAAGTTTGCTTCCATACTAACAATAACACTAAGTTGGAGATAGCTAGTCTTCATCACTACAACTCTTCCTCTAATTATTCCTTCAAATTTATCAAAGTCAAATTTTTATTTTCCAGTATCATAGTCGAAGATAATGTCGCAAGGAATTTGTAGAAATTTTCGGTGTATTTTTCTGATTGTTTAATTATTTTTTGTGAATTTTTTAAGATAAACTCACAAAAATGAAACATGAATGACACATGGAGCTTTGAGATACTGACACCCGCTGGAAAAGCTGACGACGCACCCATCAGCCGCTGCCATGTGTCATTATCTTCCATTTATTACTATTTTTCAATATTTTGACTTCCAAAAATCATAATAAATTGATAATAAATCTGAAAAATTCACCAAAGAATACTCCGGACTTCTTGGGACATTTCCAACATCTTTTGAGACTTAAAATATAATTTTGACTTATAAAAAAATTCAAACAATTTCACAAAGTCAAGTTTGCTTCCATACTAACAATAACACTATGTTAAAGATCACTAGTCCTCATAACTATATCTCTTCCTCCAATTATTACTTCGAATTTTCCAAAGTCAAATTTTTATTTTCACTCAATAGATTCGAAGATAATGTCGCAAGGAATTTGTAGAAATTTTCGGTGTATTTTTCTGATTTTTTAAAATTTTTAAAGCTAAACTCACAAAAATGAAACATTAATGACACGTGGCACTACGAGATACTGACACCCGTTGAAAAAGCTGACTACCCACCCATCAGCTGCTGCCATGTGTCATTCTCTTCCATTTTTTACTATTTTACAATGTTTTGACTTCCAAAAATCATAATTAATTCGTAAAAAATCTGAAAAATTCACCGAAAAATGCCACAAACTCCTTGCAACATTTTCTTCATCTTTTCAGTTGTAAAATATAAATTTGACTTAGAGAAAAATTCAAATAATTTCTCAAACTCAAATTTGCTTCCGTACTAACAATAACACTAAGTTGAAGATCACTAGTCTTCATCATTATAACTCTTCCCCCAATTATTACTTCAAATTTCCCAATGTTAAATTTTGATTTTCTTGCATCAGAGTCGAAAATAATGTTTCAAGGAATTTGTAGAAATTTTTGGTGTATTTTTCTGATTTTGTAATGATTTTTCGCGAATTTTTAAAGCTAAACTCACAAAAATGAAACATTAATGAGACGTGGCACTACGAGATACTGACACCCGTTGAAAAAGCTGACTACCCACCCATCAGCTGCTGCCATGTGTCATTCTCTTCCATTTTTTACTATTTTACAATGTTTTGACTTCCAAAAATCATAATTAATTCGTAAAAAATTTGAAAAATTCACCGAAAAATGCCACAAACTCCTTGCAACATTTTCTTCATATTTTCAGTTGTAAAATATAAATTTGACTTAGAGAAAAATTCAAATAATTTCTCAAACTCAAATTTGCTTCCGTACTAACAATAACACTAAGTTGAAGATCACTAGTTTTCATCACTATAACTCTTCCTCCAATTATTACTTCAAATTTTCCAAAGTCAAATTTCAATTTTCACACAAAAGAGTTTAAGATCATGTCACAAGGAATTTCTGGAATTTCTAGAAATCTGAAAATTTCACCAAAAAAATACTCTAAACTCCTTGTGACATTTCCTACATTTTTTGAGACTTCAAATATAATTTTCAGTATGAGAAAAATTCAAATAATTTCTCAAAGTCAAGTTTGCTTCCATTCTAACAATAACACTGAGTTAAAGATCACTAGTTTTCATAATTATAACTCTTTCTCCAATTATTACTTCAAATTTTCCAAAGTCAAATTTCAATTTTAACCACAATTATTACGTCAAATGTTCCAAATTCAATTTTCAATTTTCATGCATCAGAGTCGAAGATCATGTCACAAGGAATTTTTAGAAATTTTTATTGTATTTTTTTTAATTTCAAAAAAATGATTTTTCATTAATTTTTTAAGATAAACTCACAAAAATGAAACATTAATGACACGTGGAGCTATGGGATACTGACACTTGTTGGAAATTCTGAAGACACACCCATTAGGCACTGCCATGTGTATTGACTTCCAAAAATCATAATAAATTCATAAAAATCTCAAATAATTTCTCAAAGTCAAGTTTGCTTCTATACTAACAATAACACTATGTTGAAGATCATTACTCTTCCGTATTACAACTGTTCTTCCAATTATTACTTTAAATTTCCCAAATTCAACTTCGGATTTTTCTCGCATAATAGTCAAAGATAATGTCACAAGAAGTTTGTTTTTAGTGTAATTTTCTGACTTTTTTTTGTCAACTTTTTAAGGTAAAGACATAAAAATGAACATCTCATGACACATGACGCTAAGAATGGCACTCGTTAGAAGCACTGACAACGCATTATTCAAGTGTTGCCACTTGTCAATCTCTTTCGTTTATTACTATTTTTGAATGCTTTAACTTCAAAAAATCATAATAATTCATTAAATTGCATCAAAATACACACCAAAAAAATTCTACAAACTCAATCTAACACTTTCTACGTCTTTTGAATTCATCTTTAAAAATTCATAAAAATACTAACGAGGACTTCTTAGTTAAAAAATAAAAATAATATTATGAAGTTTTAGTGAATAGTAAATGAAGCAATGTTGAAGCTCTAATGAATCCTTTTAAAGCTTTTATGAAACATATTTTGGTGGCAAATAACTAACGCTGTAGCCTTGAGATTCTAACTTGTGTCATTTTTCTATTATTTTATTGCATTACTTGTAAAATTTATAATTTTTAAAAATTAAAAAATATATGTAAAATTGCTATAAGTTCCTTGGCTTTTTGGACGGCAATTTCCTCCTTAAGCTTTGCCATCTTTTCTCTTTTCCTCGCCTGTTGTTTGTGCAGAAGAAACACAAATACCCTTTAGTGATCAAAAGAAAAGTCAAAATAAACATAATTAACGAACTTCTATCTTAAAAACAATAAACTCAAACATTTGTTCTCATCTTAATAATTTTGCAATGCAAATGCAAATTGGAGGGGAAAAACAAGCTGCATAGAGAAAGAAGGAGAGCATTAGAAAGCCAAATAGTAGACAAAAATCCATAATAAAAAACCCAATTGGGTGGGGTTATCTATTTTCTCATTTACTAGCCAAAGACACATATTTTTTCAGCAATCACAGCAACCATAGCAATTAAGGCAATCACAACAACCAATACCAATCACAATCATCCATTTGAACCATACATTGTATAACTATACATACATTTACAGAGTGAGATTTTTTTAAAACCTTGATTACTAACCTTCACAGAATCACGAAAGCCAACCTTTGTCCAATCTCAAAGCCAATTACAATTTTAAACAAGGCCTGCCAAATTTAATTAAAGAGGACAAAATCAAACCAAAACCAAACAGACCAAATTAATTAATGAAGAAAAGAATATTGAAAATCAAGTAATCAAAAATGAAAATAACAAGTCATAATTAAAGATATTGATGCAGATAGAGAACGGTAGGAACAACCAGATGGGTAGCCGTAAAAATCCAACCTCTGAGCGCCAGTATGACTTTGCCAGATTACTACCTTTTCCTCCACCACCACGAAAAGCGAGGGACACAACGAAGAGGAAAATGAAAGAGATATCAAATGAGAGCAGTAAATAGGGCTTTTGGACCTTGATTTTCGAATTGTGGTAGGGAAAGGGAGGAGAGAGAGAGAGAGGACGATGACGAGGAGGAGGAGAGAGATCGACGCAGAGAAACTGAGAGAGCAATACAAGAAAGGAGTTTGAAAGGAGAGAAACTGAGAGGGCAGAGAAAGAGGAGAGGGGGAGTTCTAGAGAAATGTATCAATTCTGACCAAAGAAAATAGGAGAAGGTATTGATTGAGAGGAATAAGAGGGAGTCTGAAAAAAAAAAGTGAGGGAGCGTGAAAAAATTGGGAGGGAGGGTGAAAAGGTTGAACATCTGTTTAGGAAGGAGGGAGGAGAGAGAACAAGTTGAATGACTCACTCTAGTACAACCATTTCATTTACAATTGCTTTTCACAGAGTCATATCCAACGGTGTTCTCATATAAAATTCTCATATAAGTGTTCTCACTAGATCCTGACCCCCTAGAATATACCCTTGGGCCCTAGTCATTAACAATCAAGTTAAGTGCTCTGTTCAACATTGTCCAAAAGGGTATCTGCTAAAATTGGTGGACATTACTTTCCCAACCCATTTAGACTCTAATAAGCCACTATCAAGCTGACCAAGAAGTTTATGAAAACCAGGTTCATCTGGGTTTGGCCTATCAAGTTTTTTTGTTCGTTTTTGGTTACAAGCGATATTGGGAGGGAATCACACCTAGGTGCAGGGATAGACGCTCTTAACCGCTTGAGCTACAAGTCCCTTACTAGCTTATCAAGTTTAAGCAAATGGTGAAGGCGAGTATTTGGTTTTGCCTACCAAGTTTTCATTATGGCTCTACAAATGTTTGTAATATCCAAGAGAAAGCAGTGATTGGCCTGCAGCCTTGATGGAATTGCATATGTTGGAGCCTTTATGCCACACAACACTATATATCTGCAAGTAATGGGCAATAACTTGAACATTTCTACAAATTGAAAAGAGAGAAAATGCTTGTGATTGCTTTTCCAGGAAGACCTTCAATCTTGTACTCCACACATTTAGCACACATTTTGTACATAAATTTTGGTACAAGGCATTTTGCAGCTCACAAGTAAGCCTAATACAATCTTAAGATCCACAAAATAGAGCATTGCAAGCCTGACCAAATACAAAAAGTCTGTTTACAAAAAGGCATCTTCTACCATGTGCCCAGAACAAGATGTTGAATTATGAAAGGAAAGAATTGGCCACTCTGCTCCCTGTATATAATCATTGAAGAAAATTGGCATGTCACAAGGCAGTACTAATTGAAAACATGAAGAGGTATCATAGGGTGATGCGCTTGGAAACTACATCAAAGGAGGGAGTATGTGCAAGTAAATTCTGTCCAATTGGCTACACTAGCATTCTTACTGAAACTCATTCAAGGAGGGAGTATGTTCTGTCCAATTGGTTCATACTTTTGTTTTTCTCTTTAATTTGGAGTAGAAGGATTTACAATTGGGATATTTCAGTTCAAATCTCTCAGTTGAACCACATAATTGAACCCTAAAAGCTCCTTTCAAAACATAAAACAAGAAAACTTGAATGGATTATAAGTTATGTTCTTGAAGCATGTAATTCATAGCTAACAAGTCAAGAAGCTAATTGTAACCAACATAAGACGTTATGCAGTAGTGCTTGGAAGTGTGAGTGTGAATAAGAACAAGGACAAGAACAAGTATATAATGAGAATGATACATGAAAAAGAATAAAAAGATAGATTAGTCATACTACTCTATCAATGATTGATAAAGCAATAATATATATACACTCTTCTATCTACATATGAAGTAGGAATCTTACAGAGTGAAGTATTGGTTTGATATGTTAAAAGCATAAAATTAAAACAACAACAAATGCAGAACTAGAAATTAAGTTAGAGAGAGAGAGGGAGAGCGAGAGGGGGAGGGGGAGAGAGAGAGAGAGCCATACCATGGGCAGAAGGGATAGTGTATCTCAAACTTTCTTCTTTTCCTGAGAGAAAGTAAATGTTGATAAGTGGCTTTATGTCTAAGACCTATTTTATATCCCCTGAGCTATTGGCTCAATTTTTATCAAGAAAGTTACCTTCAGATTGACTAATGATTTATACAAGCATGCGAGTTAGGGCCGTTTTTTTCTTCTTCAGCCTCCATTATTTCTTCAGCACAAGCACAGAGAGAAAGTAAACATCAAAGAGAGCAAAAACGGCACAAGAGAAAAGATTCGTTTTTCTTATATTGTTTACACACAAAGATATTAAACTGACAAAGTATTTGGTAACAAGCAGAGAGAAAGCAAACAACTGATTCTAATCTATCTGAATTCTGAAGTATAACAGCATGGACTAAACCAGCCAAGGTGTGCAATGCATCGTGACTATTACAACCAGAAAGAGACAAAATGTGATGAAGTTCATACCTCATTGTCACATGAAGTATCTGAGTCGTTCATTTTATTATCTATGTGCAATGTCAAATACAGATTACAGAGATGTGGGAACATTGTAAAATTTTCCAAAAATAATAAGACCTCTCCATCACTTTATATGTTTTCAAGAACAGAGGCAACTAATTTTTGAAGACAGGAAAATGTGAAAATATGAGCCATTATCGCATTCGTAGACTACTTCATGATTTATCTTTCACACTAAACCTTAAAAGAATACATATGTGATTTCAAACAGAGAGCTTATCTTCTAGAGGTTTCCACTTACCATGCAAACAATATATACACAATTGAAGGACATAAGTACTAATCAAAGAAACATTCCATGTTTGATGCATTTTACAGTAATAAGCTGAATGTCCAAGCGTGATCTAAGGAACATTACATTTGATTAAGCCTCCTTTATAAACTCTTTTACACACACATATAACTTAACATCTGTCTATTAAATGGATTCACAATATCTGTCTATTAATATTTGACTGACCTGCAGATGGCTGTTTCGAAGAAGGTGGGATGCCCGAGTGGGTGGAAACGGGGTGCACATCACCCCTGTGCTCAGCAACATCATTGGTAAGTAGGGCCATACTGGGCTTGTGGCTCACCACCGCTTGAGGCTGCTTGACTGCAGGAGAAGATGGAGTAAAGCTATAGCCAAAAATATCCATGTTG